TATATGCATATATGTTACTTACCCATGTAAAAAAATATGACTTACAGGTATCCGATACTTCGTCGCTGAAGGATAGGAGGATCAAGGGTGATCCATCGTCTACAATCTTAAATCTGAAATAATCGGCCAAAAGCGGGGTATCTTACGGGAAATTCGAAGTTTCTCGTAACGAACTCCATTCCATCAGCCAACACTCTCTTCTCGAGAGGAGGGGGAAAAAGGGAAAAAGTATATATAACAAGCATCTGGCTTCCTGTCGATCACGCATAGCTGCTGCGCGTCTCGCACCTCCCAGTAACATTTAACAACACATATAAATCGAGAAAACAGCGTTTGCGACAGTCAATATGTAGGCGGTACATGAATAAAGCAGAAAGCGTCAAAATCACCACAGTCCGTCGATTAATTCGGTCAGCGCCTGCGTGTCACCGATGCTCGGCTTTCCGCACGATATTATTGGCGTATATATGCGTCGTCGAGAGGAACCGACGAATAAAACCCATCGTTCGCGATCAAATGGATTTTTCAGCGACTTGCTCGCATTGCCTGCCTGCCCGGCCGCCTGATGCATGTACGTGCATCGTCATTATCTCACGATTGCATTCTCGCTCTCCGAATTGAAGTGGGGAGACACGCGAGGAGTAGTATACTCGTCGAACAAGGACGAGCCTGAGAGGAGGCAGACTTCGAAATGACGTCGGTTCTTGACGCTGGACGAAATTTCGTGCATATCTGCGGCGTCGCTTCTCGGGACTCGTTGCTTGAAAGTCACTCGCTCAGGAACGACGAGCAGAGCCGCGTGTTGGATGTCGATCCGTGTTGGTTTGCGTGACAGTCCACGGTCCGAGCGTTCGACTTATCGCCGCGGAGAATCACGGATGGTGGCGGTTCCTCAGCGTATGTTCGCCGGCCGACGCGAGATATGAGTTTGCGGCTGCTGCTGCTCGGAAAATTCTCCCACGGGAAGCACTCGTCGTTTCTTCGCAAGAGTGCCAGCGATCAAGGACGCAATCGAGGACTGGAGAGTAAAAATGACGGTAAGCATCCTTCTCGCGCGTCTAGGAACTTCCCTTGAAGTCGGCGCGAAGGTCGACCTCCCTCGCGACAGCTTCCAAGACTCGATAAGATTCACTCGGTTCACCGGGTACGTAGCGACGACACTAACCGCAAACGCCTCGTCGAAGTGATGTCCGGAACGAGCTAGCGGTGATCAATAGCTGGGTCTATTATATTCGTCTCGACGGTCGTTCTGTCGCTTCGGAACGTGACTTTCTTTGGATTCGACACGTTGCCCTCGTCGACTCACTTCACCGATCATCAGCAGTCGATCTGAAAGCAGAAGTAAGAAAACAACATTCGATGGTTATGAACACTCACGCACCAGGTATCACATATGCCTATTTTTTTCCATTACAGCTGAAGTTACTCGCACGATGTTCAGTATTACGTAATCCGTGTGACTGAAAATCGTAGGGAATCTCAGCAAATTTTACTTACACTGTTCTGTACTTGGGAAGATCTGTGCCGGGATACAGAATATTTTTTTCAGCATAATATAAAGCTTTACAGCATACGTAACATGACGTTCAGTGAATATATACAGCGTGATACAGGCGATCTATATTATATATGAGTCACGAAATAACGTTCCTGATCTGAGCGACTTGGCGATAAGCGATATTTTTCTCATTACTTAGGTTTCTTGAATCATCAGGAAGCATTTTCACCTTATCGATAATAAATAATATGAGCCGCATACCCGAGCGAAAGAATATCTTCGATTACGTATCACCTTTCATGTATTTCTTTTTAATATTTTCCTCCCTGTGCTATAATTCCTATCGAAATATAACCGAGCGTACATGTAGTTGAAGTTTCATCGTCGGCAAAAATTTGTACAATCATGGTCGCACTTGAACTTTGTCGATTATGGAGATCTTCCGGATAGTCGTTTTCAGCAAACAAATTTTTCCTAACGTGTCTATCGTTCCACGGAGTGTGAAACTACTGTCATTTGTTTGTAGTAAGCCACTGGAACTCTTAGCAGGAATTTTAATCTGTGTGAATGTTCGCGCGCACTTAATTTTTTTTCGTTTCTCTTGTTTATTTAACGTAAATATTGACACAATTTCATTCTTTTTTGCATATTTTAATGTTTTTACTGAGATCAAACATGAAGAAAACTATTTCAATTTTCGCTCAAAGATCATTCGAAACTTCAATTACTTGTACTTATACTCTATTCTCACTTTATTCGTATTATAATCGATACAAAACCACATTGTGACGTGTTGAGTAAACTGCGAAGCGATTGCCACATTGCGATTGTATCGACCCGTAATTATGATAACGTAAACAAATTGCTCGCGCCGTCTTATATAATGAGTTTTACGCAACCTGTCACGTGTTCATTCTACGCCGCGCAGTTTCCGAGATCCAGAGAACGCGGGGCAGTTTGTACACGAGTCGCTTAAAAATGTAATAGAATCAACGCGCCGCAGTCTACTCATGCTCGGCCGTGTAATTTGCGTAATTTTCCCATCTTCCTCCAATAAAAATGTCATTTTCCAGATGGCAATAATCATATTTTAACTATGACCACTTTAATTACTAAGAATAATCATCTACGTCGTTCACATCGGCGATAAAAAAGTATCTCGTAATCGCTATTTACTGCAATCGCGATCCGCCGTCGGCAAAGAATGTCAATGGTGACGAGATAATGTAGGAAAAAAAAGAAGAAAAGGCGCGGACTGTTCCGTGTCACTTGATTGGATTCGCAACGATGCCGACGTAAATCACTTCGTTTTATTACTATTGACAAAACGACGCTGCACTGAGAACATACAACACGGGAAGGCAGTCTTACATTCAATTACACTCGAAACTGTCGCATTTATTGCGGTATTATCGAGCGACACCGTTTACTCGCGTTCACGATGTAGTAACGACGAATTTATAATTTATTTATTATTGCGCTATCACACACTAGACCCGTGTATATGAATGTACAGGTATTATATCAATAACTTGATTGTGTATCTATATATAGAGGCTATATAATAGAGGCTTTACTTGTTTTTAAACTTACTTGGCTCATCCCGACTAATAGTATAATCGACAACATCGATATGTGATTATAAAGAATGAAAATAATATTATTCGCTAAAATTAAATTATGTCATTGTTACACGTGATATTACACACAGTTGTATCTCCGATGACAAAAAGGTTTACCCACGTATAGTTTTGCGACGTGGAACTTATTCGCCTCCAAAATGTATAATTCGTAATACGCTTGAAAGCAGTTGTAAAATTCGAGCTTTTATCGAAACAGTTCTCGTCGAAACTATCACGCTTGCAGTTAGGTCGTCGTTTGAGGAGTGTATAAACGGCGAGAAGATCCACGGTGAGAGCATTCACGAAAGAAATCCCGGTTATCGAATATGCCGGAAACCACCAACCAGGAGAAACGAAGCCGAAGAGAAGTTAACGGCTGTCGTGCCGACTTAGCCGGCGGATATTAAATCTGGTAGCGGAACATAATCTCATCCGAGAAGTTTTCTCGAATGAGACGACCGCCGTCGCGGCGAGGGGAAAACTTACCACGATGTTCTAAGGACACGCCAGGTCGCGAACGCGGAGAGAGCGGAAGGAGAAACGGACAAACGGTACACGTCCTCCCCCGTAAACGAAATCCACTACGGAAGAACGGTAAGAGAGGGAAGAGCGGATAAGATGGAGAAGGGGATGACGACGCAAGGTGGCGGTAGAGGGTGGTAAGAGGAGGTAGTGGAGGAGGAAGAAGAGGCGACGAGGGAAGCGAGAGAGAGAGAGAGGTGTATTATGTTCGCTAAAGCAATGTTACCAACTCGAGAACTGGCGAACTAGCCGACAGTAAAATCCATTTTATGTCTCCCTCGTAAAGCCAGTCAAATGAAACCCGGACTTAGTTTTCATACGTGCACCCACCGGTAGCCACCCGTCCACGTCAGACCCGGTTTCCTGCCCACCGCGGCGGACGATCGTGACGGACTTTTTCGAAGGTCTAGACACATTAGTCTCGGGACACCGACACCTTTCGATCGTCGCCTATCGAATTATTCTCATTCGTCGAAAAAACATCGGTTGTGTTTCTTTCTCAACAACCGACTCTTACAACGCGCACTATGCTCCCGTTGCCCTATATTCTCGTAAATACTGCGAAACACACGTAGAAAAATAGAATCAACTTGAAATGCATCCCGGCATCTCGAAAGTTTCGAATTCAATTTTAACCGTGAGGATAAAATGTTCGCTAAGAGATTCATTATAAAGCGATCAAGGAGATTCATCAATTTGCACAGCACGCTATTTTCAAAAATAACGTGAAGCTCGAAAAAAACATTCACCAACAGAATCGTTTGGTCCGTGCGATGAAATATTTACACGAAATACTTTTTGCTTGTGAAATCGTCTCCTGTTGTGTTTCCAGAATCTCGCTTCTTTAAAAAATGATGATTAGAAAGCTGCACAGATACGGAGAAGAATCAGCGGACACTTGTTTGTTTCGGAAATGCGAATCGCCCCGCGTGACAATCCGATTGAGACTTATCTCTGACTCGAGAGTTACATGAGACGGTAACTTGTTAACAAAGAACGATGCAAGATAGACACTAAAAAGCTTGACCAAGCGAAACGCGTCGTCCGGCACTAAAACCTGGTCGCGTCGTAAAACACGTCCCCGCAGACGTACGTTTCGAAAGCGCGGTGGCGATAAAGGCCCGGCGGATCGACTTTGAAAGGATCCCTCTCGTAGATGTCGCGAGCCTCTCCTCACGACCGTTTTAATCGACACCTTTGACTGCCATCGTCTCTAAGACAGCCGTCGATAAAAGTTAGCCGTATTCCGACTTGAGGAATACGCGACTTGGACGCATACAAAATGGACGCATGCAAAACAAGGAAGATCGACTTGGGAGGAGAACATATGATTGACTCCGAAACGCGTGATTGACTTCGAAGAAAGCATAAAATCGCAAATCGTATGTTGAAACGTGGAATGTGCGTACGATTGCATAAGCGGCAACGAAGGAACGATTTCGCAGGCGCGCGTGCAGATCCAATGGGAGGAAACGTGGCGAGCGAAGAAAGGCCGGAATTCATCAGCAGCCATATGCGAAGTCACTCATCGGCGTTACACCTATTTAACCAGCTGACGATGCTCGAAATATTATTTCCACTCGTAAAGCGATCCCTCCGAACGATCGACCGTTACGATATACCGTTTCACAGGGGTTGAGACACGACGGTGGAGCCCGGCGTTACGCTCGTTCCCGGTCGTTTCGCAACGCGCAGACACATTTCTTCCCGTCTCATTCCGGCTCGCAGATCTCTCTCCACCGGTATACGATTCGTCTCTCGTTTTCACGAGGCTTTTAACTGTCCACGTCCGGAATCTTTCTGTCTTCTTTTTTTCTTCTTCTTTTTCCCTTTACGAGCGACAGGCTCGCCAGAATACCAGTCACTTTGTTAAGTACACGTACCCATAACGGCACGTTACGACGAACGTAAGATCTACTCGCGTTAAGTGGATTCGAGGATGTTCGGCGACCGGCGAACAGTAATGGGACGAGAACCAGTAGTCCTACGTCTCGAACGATGTGGATTTATCATGCAAACGTATAGGGAGTCGTATTCGTCGCATGTCGTTTTTTCCTAACGCGGTTCGCGTAGAACGATGACGAGCTGAACGCGTTCGATATCGAGCGCGTTTTGCACTTTGTCGCGAACGAGGCGGCTTGCGTTGAATTTGTTATGCTGATGCGTTACATAATGCGTCACGTGCTCCTTAAAAAATTATAATATTGCATATTCTATCGTGTACGCGATTGTCCGTGTGAAAAGAAACGTCAACGCGCGATTATCTCACGCGAGCACTCTCGTACGAGGACAAAACCTTATAAAGTTACGTATAAGATTCTATTAAACCGATGCCTACGTTGTTAGGACGAGCAGTTAACAGTACTACAACGATAACAGTGATAATAAAAGCAACGATAATCGTAACAAAATAGCGAAAAAGAAAAAGAAGGACCCGAATGAGCTGGAGGAGGCACGCATCGGTTCACAGTTCATGTTCCATTCTACCCGAGAGACCTTCTCCTCCCGATTGACCATGGGATGCCTCGTAAAAGTATGATTTACAGCTATGCCGCCTCGCAATCTCCTTAACCACGTGATCTCCAACATACGTTACCTACGTCCCGATGATCCGCGTATCGCCTCGTTCGGCGCTACTCTTGCCGGCGATTTCCGCGCGCGGGCCAACCGCAACTTCTCGGCGGATTGTCTTACGCCGTTGACGCGCGAGACTCATCGTGGACTAACCGGAGAGATTACCTGACCAGATGTTTCTTAAAGGTTTCTTTCACGACGTGTGATTTATAGCAAAGACTTTCGATACGTTGACAGGAAATTTGAGAGCGTGTTTTACAGATGCTAGTTGTTGAGATTACCAGTTCGAACTTACTAATCGAAAATCGTTCCTATGTTGAAATAATTACTTGCGTTTCCGGTGAATACACGGGATAGCGAATACGACGTGAAAAAAAAAATAGAAAAAGATAAAACTCGGATAATATATAAAATTGGAGAATAAAGATAATATTGGGATAACGCGGATCTTAACGTTAACGTGTGTGTTTCGAATTACCGCTGGAAGGAGCCGGAGAAATCTGACAAAATTTAAGAGTTTCTCAGCTGCAAGCGACTTTTACGCTACACGTTAACGCCCGGCACTTTTCATGTTGTTCGCTAACTTCAACGCGAATAAAATTCGCTCGTGCGTCTCACCCTTTATGGAGGCAGCCGGTTATTAAGCGATTTCTCGTGCTTCAATTTCGCGAAGAGAAACTGGTCTATGTTCTGGTACGGCACAGACTATTCGAGGAGAAGGGTTTTCCTCCACGGTGTGTGTCTCTTCCGGTGGATGATCTAGGCAGATTCCGAGACGAACAGTGACTGCTCGAAAAGTCGTAAACGAGGACTAAGGAGAAGGAGACACATCCAGGCACGTAGCTAAAATGGAAACGGCCACTGCGATCGCGGACGGGGTGGGTGGAGGTTTATCGTTTGCCCGGTAAGTGCTTCGCGAGTTCTCACACCTCCATCCGCGGGTTGCCACCCTCGACGAGAGTACGTGGGCAGGGGGAGAAACCGTAAAATCACTGCGGATACTTCAAATAATGCCTATCTACTCTACCTGTGACGTTAGCAGGCTCGTTCCATCGAAATATTGGCGAGTGAGCGATTTCGTTTCTTCGTGGTGATCTTACGCGAAATTTGTATGCTAATCTCTATTATTACGTTATCTTTCACCCGCGTTTTTCATCTTCTCTCGAGTATAATTGCGTTTGTTCCTTCCTTGACATATGACTATAACACTGCTACGATCGAAAAGGATTCTACCAAATTCCCGCACATATCGCATAAACAGTATCGCAAATATAGTAATTTATCACCTAAGACGAAATAGGATTCGTTTAGTCATGAACAAGTAGTGGTAACTGTATTGCACGTCGGAGACAGTGAGGAAAATGGATAGTGAGTCGAATGATCGGCGATAACGGCGGAGCCGTGGTAAACATCATACGGCTAATGCACCGATTTCTATGCAAACGTTTATATCGAAAGCAATTGTCGTTACATGGATATGGCCGTTACACAACGACAATAAGTGAAGATGCTAAGCATCGCTGGCAGCGTTCATCGCGAAGACGTTGCTCGACAGACGGTATCATCTGTCGCGTCTTCGCATCCTGCCGTTTCTCGTCCGAGGAATTCTCCGAGTAACTGTGTGCCAGTTATCGTAGGTTACAAAAGGGGTCTCGAATCGTTCCTCTCACACTGGAATCTCATTTCCGTATTCGCCGGGAAGAAGATTGAGAGAGAGAGAGAGAGAGAGAGAGAGAGTGAGATCGAAAACGAGCCTTTTGCTCGCTCTTTCGCCAACGCGAATTATCCCGCCAGTCGGCCGCGCGAAGAATTTGTTTATCGATCGCGAGCAGACCGGTAGGAGGCGCAACCACCTTCATTAATGAGACGCGTAT